TACTTTACTTTACTTTACTTTACTTTACTTTACTTTACTTTACTTTACTTTACTTTACTTTACTTTACTTTACTTTACTTCACTTCACTTCACTTCACTTCACTTCACTTCACTTCACTTCACTTCACTTCACTTCACTTCACTTCTGTTTTGTTTTGTTTTGTTCTTCTTCACTTCATTCTATTTTATTTTATTTCACTTCATTTCATTTCACGTCACATTACGTTACATAACAGGGTTAAGAACGTCCAACCTATGGACAACTTGTACTTATGAACGGGCTGCCTGTTACTAAAAATGGTGGCTGGCTTTCCCCTTCCTCGAGCTGACGCACTGCTGAAGCCGCGCAATGTTTCCATGAACCGCTGAAGCTGCGCGTTTTTAATACGCAGCCTGTTTTCAGCAGTTCATGAAAACATTGCGCGGCTTCAGCAATTCATTGGCTCGAGGAAAGAGAAAGCTGTCTGTCGTTTTTAGTAATAGGCAGCCCGTTCATAAGTATGAGTTCCAACTTACATACAAATTAGAGTTAAAGACAGACTTCGGAGCGGATCTTGTTCTTAACCTGAGGGCTGCCTGTATTTCGTATCATATCCCCCGAGCACAAAGCTTTCAGTGGCTGTTCCAGTCCGGAGTGCAGGGACCCTGCTGTTGGGCTGTCCAGCTCCAGCCGTTCTGCCCTCTCTCCTCTCCTGTGAGCCCTTTTACTGCTCTGGGGAAAGGAACCCCTTCCCCTCGAAGCTCCTGGGCTCAGTGCAGCTCCACAGGGCGGGCCATCTACAGCCAGGGGTGACTTTGATGGGCAGGGTGGAAAGGAGGTGATAAAGGGAAGCGAGGGTCAATAGCAAGGAAGAGCAGAAGGGGCATGATGGGGAAGCTTGTGAATTCTGTGAACATTGCTAATGTTTATTATAGTGATGGTTGTCCTCGGCTGTCGTTATATGTACATTTGTTGTCATTATGGTTATTGTCTGATTGTGTTGAGGTTTAATCCTACGCTAGCCACCCAGAGTTGCTGTGGTCAGGGGGGGGCCATATAAATTGATTGAAATAAATAAACAGATTGATGACATGCCATCAAGTCAGCGTTGATTCTTAGCGATCACATAGATAGATTTTCTCCATATAAATAAATAAGTAAGTAATTAAGTAAGGTTTTTTGGCAGTTTGCAAGGGAGAATATTTAGACCTTAGGCCAACCAGGCTTCCTCCAACCCATTACCCTGCAAACATTTTGGACCACAGCTTCTGGAATTCCCAGATAATTCATGGAGTTGTCATCCCACCATCTAGAGATCAAGAAAGAAGTTGTGCTTGGCTGTCATAGTTATCCCTCACTCTGTCTTTCCAATCTTCAGCTGGAGATTCGCTCATCATCAAACTTAAACAGTCTGCGGCCCCAGTCTCTCATGTCACTCACCGTAAACACGGATACCAAATCCCTCATCTCTCTCTCTGCCACCGACGCTGCTGTTTACGCCCTCAACCGGAAGAATCGACTCACGCAGAGCAAGGTATAGTCCCTCCACCCACTCTTCTTGGTTGTTTGGGTATCCAATTTCCTTTTTTGACTCCTTGTGGAATAACATCACTGTAATTGTTGGGAAATTGTCGGGCACATTTGGGATTTTGAAAGCACGTTGTGAGGGCTGTCATAGAAAAGCTGCCAGGGTGGAGTGAAATAATGGAGGTCTTGCCTTGGGAAGTGGGGAGAGGACAGTGAATGCTAAAGGGAAAAGATACAGGACTGAGCAAGTGGGAAGCACAATAAACTCAAATTAACCCCCCTTGATTTTGTTTGGTGTAAGATGGGGCAGAGAGAAACTCTACAAGCTTTCACGTTTCTATTACCCTACAACAGTCAAGAGCATTCCTGGAATTCCTGCTGATTCTGTTTCTTGACTTTGCCTATCTTGCAAGGCTGACATAGGCACAACCCACAATCCATTTTTGTATTCCTTGTTGCTTCCTTTAACTCCTGGACATGCTCCCTATCACCCTAGCTACCATTTGGAGCCCAAAGGCATTTTGGGGAAAGAAGACGCTACCAAAAGCCCTCATTTGAATTTGAAGCATAGCTTCTCATTGTGCTCAAACTGATGGCTCTCACTGAAGGTGTTTCTTGAGTCTCCCCATCTCCCAGCTCCTGGGACAGGAATGCATAAATTGTGGCATTTTGTGATGACATGGTCCTGCACATTTTTTGCCCCTCTAATGGATGCCTGTGAATTATACATCCATATTAGCCTAGTAACCCAGCAATGATCCTAAAAGATGAATCACAACACTAAAGGATCCCTCATGCCCAGGCCCCCTCAGTGCCAGAATTCAAATTAGAGCACCCCTGACAGGTGGCTCTTCAACCTCTATTTCAATATGTCCAGGGAAGGAGAACCCACCATCTCACCTTGTAACTGGTCCCACAGTTGAATTTCTGTTATTGTTAGAAGGTTCTTCCTAACATTCAACCAGATCCTGCTTTCCTATAACTGATTATGATTGATGATATGTCATCACATTGGTGTTGACTCTTGGTGACAACATAAGTAGACCTTCTCCAATCTCCATGATGACTTCTTATAGTGTAAATCCATTATTCTGTGTCCTGTGATGGGATAACAGAGAACAAGTAATGGCCATCTTCTGCATGACTCTCTTCAGTTATTTGGAGTGCTATCAAGATATCCCCCCACTCTTCTTTTCTCAAGGCTGAACATAGCTGGATCTTCAGTCTCTCCTTGAAGGATTTAACTTTCCAATCTCTGATTATCCTTGCTAGTTATGTTTGCACCTATTCTAGTCTGTATTAGCTAAGAAGGTATTTTGCTGGTCTTTCTAGTGAAACATCACACATTAATGAAAGCAATCTCTCTTTCTTTGTAGTATCTCTCACTTCATCATCTTATCAAGTTCAACACATATTTATTTTTCCTGTTGAAATCAGGTTTTCGAGGCCATGGAAAGTTATGATCTTGGCTGTACTGCTGGCAGTGGGGAAGATTCCCTCAGCGTCTTTGCTGATGCTGGTCTCTCAATTCGTGTTGGTGAACAGCAAAGCCCTCTTCGGAATGGTGAGTGACCAGGCCGGTAAGGAAAGTAAAGGAAATTGGACAATTATCAGCAATTTCTAACATATTAATAAAGAAAGTGCCCAGTATAAATCACAAAGCCGCCCAGAGTCGCCCGCTGGGGGAGATGGGCGGCATACAAATTTAATAAATAAAATAACTAAATAAATAAACAAAGCTGTGAGGAAAAGAAATGAAATAACTCTCTTCATCACCTCAAAAAGATGTAGGGTTAAAACTCTCAAAATCTTGGAAAGAGAATGCCCTTGTTTTCTGAGATTTGTGCCGTCTTGTGTGAAATTTCAACCAAATCTCACAAATTTTGGCAATATTTTAATAGCTTGGGCATTCATTGGTGCTGATTCAATTGCTTTACTATTTGACATACATTAATTTTTCTCTTCTGCTTCTGAGAAACAGCACCTCTCCTTTTCCATCAGAAACCATTCCTTTCAATACTGCTAGCAGGACTTTTTTTGAGTTTCTGCCC